TAATAGCAAAAAGAAAAACTTAATTCCTACACATTAAAAATTTTTCTTTCATATATTAATTTTTGTTTCGGTTTTGGCTAAAAACATTTTATAAAAACAAACTTACGGAACTGCGTTTAAAAAACGTGTATAACTTGAGCATTAGAGATTTCTTATTGCGTAAACAAATTATATAAATTTTATCGTTGTAAATTGTATAAAAGTTAGAATTAAGAAAATTCCGCGAGACTACGATAAACTCGCAGGCTCGCGCGTTCACGCTATTGTTATCGTACTTTAGTTACTAGGAAAACTCGTGTTATAGGCGAATGAACACAGGACGGAATAACGAAACGCGATAATTAAGTTAAATCGCAGTTCCGTAAGTAAATAGAAATTAAAAGGTTACACGGTTAAAAAATTATGTCGCGGCCGGCTAGCTAGGGAAAACAATAATTGGTCGGACGGGCCATAAGTAAGCGAGAATTAAAACTTTTATTATTACATTTCTAAGTTTTGTTGAGAAAAGGAAGAAAATATGATGTAAGTTATTACATCTCTTCTCTTTCTTTCTAGAAACTTTTTGCAAATTCCTCACGTAGTCATTAAGATAAGAAAAAAAGGACTTTAAACTAATTTCTTTTAGAATGTTTGAGTATTTTGTGGAAAGTCTGCATATTTTAAGTTCGGTCGACAGATTCCGTATTTTTCTCTCTGTCTTTGCAAAGGTAATAGTCAAGCAAAATTCTTTATTCTTTCGAAGAGCATCAAAAATTTTGATGAGAAATCAGCTGCGTAAAAATTTATTCTTAAAAAATTCATCAACTTTTTTTTTTAAATCATGTGAAGTTACAGAATGGCGCAACGTCGATAACAAACTTGGGTGATTATTTGCCGAGAACGTAAGTGTTCAAGTCGCACAAGAGAGACGTGAGTTCTTGTTGTAGAATCAAGTTTTTGAAGTTACCGCAAGAGAAAGACGAGGTAACTTTACCAGACGCGTGAGGTGGGTTGGAAATTCGCCCGGCAGCAACGGAAAGTATGCCAGTTAAGACCGTGCGATATTCAGTAGAATTACCGAGGCGATTTACCCTGATTTCCGGCGGTTTACCGAGATGACGATACCTAGATCGTGGTTGGTGCGGCGCACGGTCACCCGATGCAAGCATTCGAAGCACGACCAAATTTCGACGTATAGTGCAGCAAGGTCGCATTAAAGCGCAAGTGTGCTTCCATTCTAACCGTCACTTTCTGCAGGGCGACGTAAGTCTCGCCCTGTGTAAGCCGACATAAGCCAGTGAATGAAAAGTGCCGCGCACTTGTTTTAATTCTAATTGCAGCTCTCGCGTCTCTCGATTTAGCTATATCTGCTAAGGTACCACGAAATCGAGGTCGACGAATGGTGTCGCTTTAAGATAGTACACATATATTGATCGTGAATAATCGACGACTTATTTTCCGAAAGCGTAAAAACGGTCCGTTTATTTTGGAGAGTATCAACATACGTTTTGTACCAGATTAATTTGCTAGATTACAAGGGACAGTTTTTCGGTGCATTTTTTAAGTTTAAACTTATCACGTCTGATGAACAAGCAAATTAATTTCTTGCGTGACATAACATCTCGCGAAAAATAATTTTTGGAATATAAGGCCGTAAAAAAGAAGGCATAAATCAGAGAAATTATATAAATATTTACAACAGTAGAAGGAGAAATTATACGAAAGTATTTACAACGAAAGTATTTACAAGTATTTACAATCTTCGTTTTGTGAATAAATTAAAATCGCTTATAATTCATTTAATTAGATTTATATTTTGAAACATTAAAATTAAATGAATGTTTATCATTAATCCAAATTTCTATATATTATATTTATAGAAAATTAATACAGAAACATTATTGCACAGTATTGTGATTTCTGGTAATCAATCTAGTGACTAATATTTTAAAAATATGTATCAAAACTGACTTGTGAGTATGAAGAATTGATGTGTACAACAGACTTCGGCTTTCAATGGCACCTGACTGTACGAGATAATAATAACGATTACGCGATCTAGATGATTTATAACGCTGACTGATGACTTTAGCTCGTCATCTTTTTCACGAACTTTTTCACTCGGCTGGAAGAAAGACGATGACGGCGAAGGATCACGAAGGTTAAGCCAATTTTGACAAGGGCGATACATCACGTAACGCGCGACCCTTCCGCCAAACATTCCCGACCCCTTCGTATGAGCGTAACAACCTGTCCGAGGGATGACACTTCCTTGCCTACGCTGTCGGGCCTTCGACCCTATTCACACGTAGAAAATGCTCAAAGAAATCTTTGATCGCGGTTATTGGACTTATATCCGCAACGATTGAAGGATTTAGGTTTCGAGTCGCGATATAAAAGAGAGATATTACTCGTTTAACAGATTTAGACAAGCGTATGTTTGGTTTTATATATTAAATAATGAAAATAAACGATTATTAAAATTGAAATGTTTAAGAAGTAAAATTTCTCTTCAAGATAGAAATTTTAAAGCGACAATAACGCGATAGAAATGGAAATATAACGGAAGTAGAAAACACGTTATCGCGAGTGATTGTATTTAACACAAATTTTAATTTATCACAAATGCAATTGTGTGTTTAAATGTATTTTAAATTTTGTGCAATTTTGTAGTATTAGCCATTTTGAATACTGCATCATAAACGCAAGCCTCTCAACTAGTTAATATCGCGAGCTTGCCATACTGCATTTTCGAGTAACCTTCTATAGCGCGGAAAATTAAGCTCTCCGAAATTGTAACAGTTCCGAACTCGACTTTGGCAAGAACCGCAGATGCTCGCACGCGGAGTAAATGCGCACACTTAACGGAGAGTAGGAGAAGGGATAGAAGGTGGTATTAATTATTTCTCTAGTAGCAAACTCTCCCTGTTTGCGATCCACTCGACCTTTTGCTCGCGATGCGCGTACATGTACTTACAACACATGTTGCACGTCGTTTTGCTGGAGGGGGAGGAGGAAAAAAGGGAAAAATCGCGAGTAAGCCATGGGAAAAAAGGGGAGAAATCACAGACGAGAAGATCGATCCTCATTTTCGCCGCGCCGATGGATACGAGAGAAATACTCGCTCGGTTCTATATCGGAATCTTTCGTCGGTTGCGAATCGATATTCGCGTTCGCTAAAAAAGGAAACTCAACACCGGTCGTTTACAGCTAAATTTAGCTAAGTAAATTTTCCGCCGTCCGTATCACTAGTAAGATTGCGAGAAAAAGACGAATAGTGAATCTCTAAGAGATCGGGTTTATTTAATCCAAACTTATTGGCGCGAACGAGCTTTAATGAGATGTAAACATTGGGTGGTAATTGCATCGTTTTCTCAAAGTAGAGCGGACGACAGAGACGTATTACGTTTTTACTTTATTTTGTTTTATATTATCTTGTTTTGAAATCCACAACGTATTTTACAATTTATCGATGCATATCAAGATTTTCATTTTGCATCAAGAAATATTGGTATGGAAATCCTTTAGTAAAAATATTCCAAATACGCCTGTATGTGTACATGCGCATGCATGTATGATAGAAATTGTTTCAAGATACTTCGTATATTGAATATTTCAAATAATTTCTTTCATAATAAAAATCGGTATGACCAACATTTGCGAATTGTGAAAACTGCGCAATACAGATACGCCGCTCAATAAGAAATATTTCAACGATTTATTTCGTTGGTTTCCAAAATTTTGTTTTCCATGTTTTTCATTCAAGTAACTTGCTAAAACTATAGAACTAAACTATAGAACCGAATCATCTAACAATACGAAGTTTCGATTGTAAGTTCAAACATACTTAACTGGAGGGAAACAGCGACTTCGAAGAATAAAAAAGGATACTCGAGGGAATTGAAGTATATATTGAGAGCATTTCTTATTAAGAAGAAGTACTTTTAGAAATTAATTTAAGCTTGTAATCTGCAGTAAAATCTTTTCCTGTGTAATTTGAAGAAGTTGTTGCGTTTACATTAATTTTTTTTTTGTTCTTCATAGCTTAGCAGATTCGATGAAGGTGCGTAAAGACAGAAAGTTTAAGTAGCTCGATATTGAATGCTTAATTTGCAAACGAAGTGAAAGCTAGGTCTGTTTTGACATATAGGCAAGTGTAAAAGTTTAAATCACTTTCGGGAAGCAAAGGCGAAAATGTCGATCTCTCGATGTCAAAATTCCGGTGTCAGAAAACAGACAGATATATGGAAGTTCAAAATTGAAGTATACAAAATTGAAATTGACAGATTTGCGTATGTTTTCCCTGCTAGAAAAAAAACCAAAATAATATGAACGAGTTACTGGAGATTATTGAAACGATTCACTATTAATCCTAACATAATAGTAGTATTTATATTCTTCTTGCATTAAATTTGATTATTTAAGATTAATTCAAATTAACTAAATTATTTATTGTAATGTTTACTCAAATATAAGAATATGTAATATTATATTGTACGGAGGATTTAAATATATATTGCGACTGTTAAATGATTATATAAAGATTCAATGAAACAACAAAGTGAGAATGACCCGCGTGTATCACTATTAGATAACAGATGTCAACACTGTTAAATCTATATAGTGTCAAACTGAGCCTTATTTAAGTCGTCATTTACTTAATAAATAGTTATTTTTTACTAAAACAATGAAGTAAATAATTTACAACAGTCTAAATTTGGATTAAATTCCATTTGTCTTATTTAAAAATAACTATATTGTTTTACAATTAAAAGTAACTATTTATTAAGTAGGAGCAGCGGCGACTTAAATAAGGTTGAATTTGACACTATAGGTTTTAACAGTAAAGTTAAATCGTATTGGAGGCAGATTTTCAGTATGCCATGTCAAGCCGAATGGCTTACCTTCTCAATAAGAAATACGTCTCACTTTTGCTTACACATCATATATTGTGACAGATCTGTGGTCATGCTTTTGCGCGATAAATCCTTATGACATAACGTCGCCAACGATAAACTTACAACTGGGAGCCTCTTCGCCGATTACGCCTTTCTTCGTCGGGTACAAGAACGGGTTGGGACACAGGCGGTGCCACCGCAGGTGCAGATGACGAGTCTAGCTTAATCATCTTCTCATCGTCGGCCGCGTCGTAGGGCATCAACGGTTTCACGGCGCGGAAGGAGGACCTGCGAGCTGCAGGCCGCTCTTCAGGTTCTCGGGAGCCTGCGAAGAAGCAGACGACCAACGACGTTTTCAGGCCAACCGTATTATACTTGAAATATTAAATGTGAACCGGTATATAGCGAGTAAATCGTCTTGAATAACGAAGTCTATGCTGATATAATGATAGTAGAGATAAAAGAGTAACATGGATTTTTTTTTTTATATAAAACGCTCGGAAGACATAAGAGGCTATAAAATATATTTTAAAGCTATAGCAGATAGATTTATATATCGGAAAATTGAAACAGATCAGTTTTACAGATAAAACGTTTCAATATCACATTTATATCTGCAACTGAAATATTTTCCCTGGAAATGTTTTCATTAATCATTAAAACGCGCAATAAATAAAAATCATTGCAATTATATGTGAACGAACATACGATCAATTTTATTAAAAAAAAAAAATTTTTTTAAATTTATTGTTTTAATTTTCTTTATATTCAGAAATAATAAAGTAATCTGATATCGAAATATCGAAATATCCAGTTACTGCACAAAGATTTCAAAGGAGTTAAACATATTTGGAAGGAATAAAACAGTTGAAATGGTTGTTTTCACACCAAAGTATGATGCGGGTCGAATGCCAATGTTGTTTCTCTCTGTAACACGGGAAGTGGAGTTTTCAGCTCTTGCTACACAGAGAAACAAGTATTGGTCACATTTTATACGGGTTGTTTGAATAGGGGTATTTTTGTGTAAAGAGAGAAAAAACGAAATATCAACATTAAAATAACGTTATAACTGATTAGAGAAAGAGAGAGAGAGAGAGAGGGAGGGAGGGGGAAGAGCGAGAAGAAACTAAAAAAATCTTTGACGATTTAATCCGGTTAAAAGTAGATAATCAAACCTTATTTCTCGCCGTTTTAACCTTCGTTTCTTTTTGAACGAACTTTAATTTGCATTATCAAGTTAATATTAAAATATTAAAAATTGAAAAGTTATAAAAGACCCGCAAATTAAATTTTTTGCGAAGATTAAAATTTTCATTTAAAGAGACTATAATAAAATCGATAAAATGTCATTTTATCTGCATACAATCGTATATTCTTTATATTTTCAAACTGTAGCGTGATAATGTGTGTAATAATGCGACAGTGCATTTTCTTAAGCGATCCGCCGCGAGTTGCCTCGAAAAGGGAATTTCTCGCTTGGTTTCCCGATTCATATGCAATGCTGCAAAATTCAAGTTTTGCCGGTCAAGGTTTGTTTTACCGTACCTCCGGTATTATTTTGTGCAATATCAGCACTTAACCGGCGAAATTCTGTACGTTACATCAAGCCAAGTATCGAATTGAGGCTATACACGTTTCGCCACGGGAAAATGGGAAATTTTAGAAGCATCCGAATAACCGATCAAATACGTATGCATGCATGGGTAGTGATGGCTTTGAAACCGCGTTACGCTTCTCCGTGACGCATCAGAAATAGTTTTCCACTGCAGAAAGTTCGTTGCAAGTTCGTCGCGTGCAGGGTTTTTCAATAGAGCGAGGCAGGGTGGGTGGTTGGGAGGGAGGGAGGGAGGGAGAGAAAGGAAAGAGAAAAGCAGCAGAATTTCTATGCCGAGTACGAGATGGTTGTTTAGTGCTTCCGATCACGCAGACTGGTAATATGCGTGCGCGCACTGTTCAAGTTACACAATTATATATAGAAATGTATCTCAGGCGATATACGCGACACACACGTCCGACAGACGCGACTGAATTGAATGCATGAAAATGGGAATTTCTGAAACTAGTTTCCGCGCGCGCGCGCGCGGTCGCTATATTTAAAGTTGTAGTCCTCCGCGGAAAATTTTAATGGCATCCCGAGCAACTGGTTACCGCAACAATTTGTTGATGTACTGCGTGAAATTTTCATCAAGTTTTACCTCAAAAACTCGCGGCAAGCACGATATATAGGATACCGTTTTGAGACATTTAAATTACGAGTCTCCTCCCCGGGAAATTAATTGAATTGGAAGGTCGCGGTTTGTAAATATTGTAAATCGAGAGACCCCCCTCCCCCCGTACGTCACGTGCGCTGTTGCTAAACGTTTCTCGCGGCGGCGGAAAATGTCGAGCGAACGGACGGGGCCGCGTCAACCGCGGTCGAAATATGTTTAGCGAAAATCGGCTTACTCATTTCCTCCGGATCAGTTGCTTGCTTTTGATGGCGAAACACATCGAGAGAGGTATAGGACGCCCGCATTCGCGTAATGGAGCGAATTGTTTCTACAACGAAACAGAGGAAGCTGCGGAACAGAACGAACAATACACACAGGATAGAGTTACCGCTGCTCGACAAGGTCTATTCGATTATCCTAGCCGGCAGGTTTCGCCGCCCTTAGGGATCCCTTAGAACGCGCAGCACCATCTCTAACTTGCCGCGGATGCCGTTGCGATAACTCGTAAACGCGCAATATGCGCAAGCAGAGAAATCGGAGCACGTGTTGCCAGCTCGCTATCGGGAGGGAAGCGAAGGAGTTGGAAATTTCGGCGCGCCTTCGCGCCAGGATCGAAGAGCCGAGAGCTAAAGTTCCTCCCGGGAATAGCCCGGGAGGTCAAAGATAGCGCTTTAACGAGAGAAATTACGACGAATTATGCGTGCATATACGTAACACAGTATACGGCTAGCGATATAAATATCTCCCGTTATTTTGGAGAAACGTCTGAGGGGTGATTTTTATGCGAGATTATATTTTAAATATGGAGCAAAAATGTATGCGATGGGAAATATTAATCCTATAACGCGTATTGTATTTTATATCGAATGAATATTAAAAAATGATATTTTTCTACTAGAGAATACATTCAAAGCCAAAATTACGTGTTTATAATGTGCATGCTATTGTAGATAGGGGAGATCGGGGCTCGTTGACACAAGAGGCAAGTTGGCATTGCGTTCCGTTCATGTATTTATGATTAAAGAAACAATAAAAAAGTTATCAAACAAGTATTTTAGTAAAAAATGAGAAAAATCTGATTCAAGAGGAGGCAAGTAAATTTTCGAGTGTTTCGAAATTTCGTCCTAATGTTCTTCAGCTGATGGAGAGAGTAAATCTAAGTGATGTATTATTAGAAGTTAAAACAAAAGTTATTTGTTATACAATATGTTAAAACAAAAGTTTTTGTTATACAATATGTTATTTTGAGTAATAACCATAATTTATTATAATAAAATGATTTAAATTATATGTCTGTAAGGATAGGGCTCATATTTAAGGTTAGCTTATAGTTTAATTTACTATAAGAAACGTATAACCTTTCAATTACAACTTAATTACGACAAAACGTTTTTTATTTAATATTTCTGTATTGAAATAAGCTACATCTAAAATAGTTTACATTTATTATTCTATAGCATCTTGCTATTTGATCATTACAAAATAACTCTAAAAGATGCGATCAGTTTTTACTTCTATCATGTTTTCATTAATTTAATATTGGAATTTATCGCTTAAGCAACTTACACTGTGATATGTGTCAATTTACCCGGCTATCGGGGTAAATTGGCTACATTGCAGCATGTTCGTATTTCACTTACTACAAAGAAACTATACAGTATACAGAATCGTTCCTGGCATGAAAATGTAGAGAAAGATTCATTCTACCATATTAATATAGTTTAATCAATAGTTTAATAAATAGTTGTTTAGAAACAGGAATGTCTAAATTGTGAAAACTGTGCCAACGAACCCCGGTCTTACGTGTAAAATGTAGTAAAGAAAAATTATTTCTTCAAAGATTATTAGAAGATAATTTTTTTTTGTATCTTTTCTTAATTGTGCCGCGCGCGCATTTTTTTGTATTCGAGTATAATTGTAAAAAGGAAGGCCTGCGTTGTAAATTAACATCGCGAGAGCTTTCTCTCGCGAAAACCGAGGAATAAATGTAATCTCATCTATCACAATGAATCATTCAACGCACCTTGCGCCGAAATAGAGGCTCTTTGCTGGGCGGCGGCGATGGCCATCGCGTTAAGACCGCTACTACCGGGCACCGCGTAAACGTCGTAGGCGGACGCTCGTCTGGGTAATTGTACCGGAAGGCCTAGGCCGGTGTCGGGATGCGTGGGCTGCGCTCCGCCGGCAGCCATCGCGGCCGCCGTTTTGATTTCATCGTCATAAGACCTTTGCCTGGTCACGCGAGATTTACGGCGTACCGTACCGCCCCCGCGACGAGCGCGACGTCGACGTTCCTCCTCGTCGTCCAGATCACCGCCTTCCTGCTCGATCGCTTTATCGAGGAAATTGAAAGATGACGTTAGGATTTAAATGTAAATTGAAAAACGATTCGGTTAACGTAGAAATTCGAAACTTATTTTGATCTTGAATAACACGTGATTTTGTGACAGAAATAGCATGTTCTCGTTATGCGATGGCAAATTGCTTAATTATAGTAGCAAAGTAAAACAATTTTTATATGTCTAAAACATATAAAAATTAGAGGTGTGCGAATCAAACATTTGCATGGTCCAATCGAATCGAATCGAATCTCAGCTTTAATTCGAATACGAATCGAATTTGAATCAAATTTTCCCAGATTTATAGTACATGTTAATTTAAACAGAATAAATATCAAAATTTATGATTTACGTTATTTTACGCAATGATTTAAACTGAAGACCTATTTTCGAACCTGTTTTAAATCTCATTAACAAAGGATCACGATTTTATGTGATGTTTTGAACTAGAAAATATGTAATTAATAATATGTGTACACACGAATAGTTAGATTGCTTTAGAATATTTTATTAATCTATATGGATACATTACATACATAAAAAATACTTACTTATTTATTAGATAAGAATAATTGGTCGCGCGGGAGATATAAATGGAGCAAATAAATAGGTGATCGATTCAAAATCGAACCACTGTTGATTCGAAATTCTCGAATTATTTGATTTCGAACCTAACAGATTCGAAAACGAACTCGAATCGAATCCACTGTGATTCGATTCGAATTCGATCTATTCGCGCACCTCTAATAAAAATGTGTTTCTGCGAAAATATATTTATTTATTTTACAGAATATAAGTAATTGCATGATAGTCTTTAACGTTAAAAGCACATTTCGAGAAATCGTTCTTAAAATTAATAGACAAATCAAAGTTTAAAAAGCTTGAAGTTCAAAACGATTTGTCGAACAAGAATAAGCCTAATTTTATGATACATGTTAATAGTAATAATGTCATATTACAAAATTTTTTTCCATAGAAAAGATTAAGAAAAAAAATCAGCTATATAATTTCTCGTTTCTTCGATTGTGTCGTAACACATATCACGGGGTCATTACGCGAAATGTGAAACATCTGTGGTATGAAGGAGCAACAGATATCTCGTATTACGAACGAATAAAATCCTTACCGCCCGTCTGGGCCGGCATGACGACCCTCTGAGGGCTGGTCGCTCTCCCTCTATCGGAGGCCTGATGGCGATCGGGCGAGCCGCCCCTCGACTTGCTTTTCCGGTCCAGGTCGCGTTCCCATCTGAGCTCCTCTCTCTGGCGTTCCCCTGCAACCTTTCGAAACTACAACATTACGATACAGAGATTAGGGCACGATGCGGGAAACGTCACCACATGTAGGCCGTGAGTAAGGGCGGGATGGAGCGTCCAAGCGTCCCCCAACAACACGGTATAAGGGCGGGCGGGGAGTGCAAATACAAGATTAGTAGGCAGCACAGATTGACACCTAGAAGCTAACAGTTAAATCAACGCACAGAGATCAACTATGACTCTGGGGGCGGGGGGGGGGGCGTTATGATTGCTCGAGTGATCGAAGCTGTGCGGTCGTATTCGTCGTTCAGATTTGAGATAAAGCTATTTCACCTTCTACGGCGATTCAATAACGCCGTAATCGAATACTATTTATAAAAGCTACATAATTTATTTCTGTTTATTTTTACTTTGTTTTAAATATACTAGAAATAAATATACGTATTATGAGATATATTACTCAAAAAGATTGAAAAATCGTTGAACGATCAAATTACGCGTCAAGTCTGATATCCGCGCAAGTTCTGAATATTTTTAGAATTTTTACAATCAAGAGCTGTTTGAGAAGGTACATAGTAGGTTATTTCTGTAAATAACTGCACGAATGGATTGCACCGTGCTTTAATATAACGTGAATTCAATCCCGTGGATCTAAAATAACTCGCCCCCACACCGGCATATCGCAACAAAGACATTTCGCTCGGCGCTCGTAAGCTCTGAAGCCGGTGCACTGGCCTTTGATAATGAAAATTAATAGCGTCCTCGACACGCCTGCGGGCCAACAAGAAGGAGGGCCGCGGGAACACGGCTGAGAGTTCGCGATAATAATGAAACGGCCACATCCGAAAATTAACTTCGTCCCGGTCTTGTCACGCGATCCCGCCGCCCGCGCGGCATTATAATTGCACGTCGGCAACAATTAAAGCGCGGTGAGTAGGCGACGCGGGCGCCGCGCCGTGGTGCACGCTGGCCGTTGACCAAGTTCGAGAGAGTTTCGGCATTAAGGCCTCCATTATAGGGTCCGGGAGGTAACGAACAGGGCGCGCGATGCCGGGCACGTCTTTCTCGCTCGTCGGCTTGTGCTCTGCCTCTGCACCGGGGGGGATCCGGGATGCGGGCTCCACCGGCTCGATTCCGCTTTCGAGCACCTGTCGCGCGCATAAATATTCATGGTGATGCAGCGCGCGGGCGTGCGAAAACGTTATTTTAACGCGATGACGGCGACGACGGTGGCGAGGGTGCAGTGGCGCGAAGATGTCGTTCCTTCTCCCCCGCACGTCGTGATAATTTCCTCTCGGCGTAACCGCATTATAGCTACACGTCGTAGCTCGACGCAGCAGTAGCAGCAGCAGCCACGTCACGGTTCTGTTCGAAAAAGAACTGGGTCGCCATTTGCATCGCGATGTAACCTCGCGCACCCCGACGGTATTACTGGCCGATGATGATTTTCGAAGTGCAAGACACACGGGGGATACTCCTGGCGTGTTGCGCATCACTCAGGATGCTCAGCCGGCCGTAAATTATCCAATAGGCGTAGCCGGAACGTTTAAGTGCATGTAGGTAGCTAGGAAAGCTAGGCACCGTAATGTAGGACGCCTAGGTGGTATAAACACAAGTGCCAAATGCAATTTTAATCCGGATGCGGACGTGTTTGCATTCATAGCCGCCCGAGACGCTGAGAAGTGGTTTTACAGTTTTTTAGATCAAGACCGTTGAATAATTGAAGAAAAATTCAACCAAAAATTCAAAATTATATTTCAATTCTAACGAGCTTGTTTCTCACGAAATTAAGACAACATATAACAGTGACAATATAAGCTTGCAAGAAAATTATATAATAAAAGTAAAATCTTTTCGATTGAATATTAATGTCGCGTAATTGAAAGCACTGTTAACGCAATTAAAATTTTACGCGCACGGAAAGAACAATTTTGCTGAATCCATGGATCTGAAAATAATTTTTGTTCAATAATCAAAATAATTTTGTGCAAAAGTCAAAATGAATGCTACATAGTAAAAAACATTTTGTATTTAGGTATGTTGGAAACAGTCCACTCACGTTTTTATTAAAATTTTCTGTCGAATTCTTAATATTTGCTTGTTAAATTAACATAGGTAATGTGATTATGTTATTTAAATATTTTGTGTTAAATTGATATTCAATATTTCTCAGTGTCAAAACACAATTTATTAATTAAGTAAATAAATAACATAAAAATAAAGTAGTTTTAAACCGTAAATTCTACACTGAAAAAAGTAATCTTGCAATTATAGCGAGAATTATTTAGGTACAAAAAATTAGCTAAAACAAATAAGTGATTAGTAAGCGCTGCGATACCATATACGTTTTGTATTTAATCAATATAGATAACAGAGACAGAAATTATATCTGAACTATTTGTCAAATTTAGCAAGAAAGTTTCTCTATGACGTTTAATCAGTCCAAATTCCAATCATATTTGATTATGAAACTTATATTTTCTTGCATATATTCTTAGAATATTGCTGCTATAAATTCTATGTATAACAGACAATTTTTTAGCAGATACAAAAAACAGCAATATAATTTAAGTGTAATATTTAGAATTCTAGCTGAAACAACGAAACATTTCCCTGAGTGTAAGATAAATAAATAAAAGGTAAATAACTTGTTAATTTTACTGAAAAATAATGTTTTCACAATTTGTTTCCAAATTGTATTAAAGTGTTACATTTTTATAAATTTTTACATAATGTTTATGTTACTTTCTAATACATTCATCTTCCGTTAAATTAACACAAAAATTTGAGTGGACCATTTGGGACATGTGAGACGTGTTAAAAACACAAATTTTTCAACTTTGTAGAGTATCAAAACCTTTTTACAGCAATGCTTATTAGCTTCATCATTCCAACAAATTATTTTGATGATTCAACAAAAAAAATATTTTCAGTTCTGTATTTGGCAAAGAGACCAAAGTTTTGAGAACTTTCAACAAAATCGTTCTTTCCGTGCAGCGGCAATGCGATTGTACACCGGACTACCGCCGGTAACCGCGATTTTAATCGCGGGATCATTTTGACGTCTTTGTAGTTTAGCAATTATTTTTCGCACCGCACGCCTCCGCGATATCGCATTGCATTTCTGCAATTTCGCCGGCGGCACTGCTGCAGTCGTTCCATTCCATCCATCATGCGGCCCGTTTTAGCTCGCGGAGAAACCGGTGGCCGTGTGACGCGCGCGCGCGCGAACGGCAGCGAAGTGGATTGAATCTCGAGATGGAAAAAGCGCCAGCGACAATTACCACGAGGAAGATAAACGTGCCAGACGTCCTTCACTTGTGAGCGAGGCGTATCGCGGGCGAGTGACGCGCGCGTGAGCGAGAGCGAGAGCGATAAACTTCAGAATTAGCGTTTACCGTCGTAAATACGAGACCAGATCTCCTCTCGTGGGTTCGTCTATACGCCTACGTACGTGCATTTACGCACATACGTAGGACGTATTTCATTACGTCATGACAATTCCGACAAAACGGATTTACGATCCGGAATCCGCCCTTTCTTTTTGTGTTAAACTCGTCGGACAAACGGCGCTGACACATGCTGGCTGTCCAGAGAATCCAGACGTTATTTGACGAAAGGAAGATTTAACGGCAATTCATACTTGACGTATCCTGAATATAGGACGCGGAATGAAAAGTATAGAGGATAATTTCATTGAGTAATAACAGAGCGAAAATATTTCAATTCTATTTCACTATCTAAACAATGGTGTTAAAAATACAATAACCAATTACGGAAACGTGAGGTGACGCGTGTTGTATATACAAAATACGTATATCTGAATAGACGAATTTGTTAAACAAAAATTGAAAGCTGAAACGAGGGAAGGAGGGGGGAGGGGGAGGAAATGAACGCGGAATGTGAACGTAACGCGAGAAAAGGCAATTTTCGTAACGAAAACTATATGATTTTTTGATATTCTCGCGTGGTAAGCAATCCCGTACGATACGCAAACCGTATATATAAAGAATTTACCGTTTTTACTCCCTCATTTCTACGGAGACGTGCAGAAACACGCTCTCCTTCATTTCAATTTCACTCCACTTTCTTTCGTTTCCGCAACCGTTTCCGCCCGCGCGCGCACGGATCCGATTATTCTGCCAAGCGACAAAAACGACTGTCGATAAATTCTCGAGGTGAGACGTCTACCGGCGCTACGAAGTTGTCGGCTGGCACAATGTAAGTTTCAGCCTTAGAGTGTGCCGCGCGGCAATCAATAACCGAAGGTTCGATAAATTCAAGGGTATTGATTCACGTAAATGTCACATCTTGTAAACGCCAAGTAAGTCGCAGCGCGTAGAATGTGGGGCAATATAGTGATAGATAAGGAAGCGCCGGAGAAGCACATCAGCTAAACTATTGATAACGGCTGTACGATCTCCGCTTGACGCTACAAATCAAATGCTTTTCGAGCATTCTCTGATTGTGGTCAGTTGAAATTCTTTCTTCTGGATTCATCAATCAAGTGCTTCAAAACACTTTGCAGCGTCAAGTGGACTGCACTGCTGCATGAAATGTCAGCCAGAATGTAAGACTGCCGTCTCGTTTTTCTCTCGTACGTTAAAATTATCTGAAGTCTACATAGACTTTCTATCTCGCGACTTGGAAACAGCATGAGAGACAACGAGCTCTTTAGATTGTATCTCGAGGTCGTAAAACGCGGCTTTTTACGATGCATTTTCGTTCGTTCGTTCTCGAAGTCTACGATCCCTACGAGGCCGCGCGCGATAATTACGCGCCCCGATAATTGTCTGTCTGAGTGTCGAGTAATGAGAGAAGTCTGGGGCTGCGTAACACGTGCAAGACACGCATATTGGTGTGGCACTCGTTTCCGAGTACACGCGCGTGCGTGGGCACGCTCGCTCCCGTTCGCGTGACAAGTGCACACGATCTACGCGCGCAATGAGATCTCGTGGAGAGTAGTCGAGGTCCGCGTCGAGCCCGACACCGAGCGGGGAAAGCGCGCCTCGTTAAAGCCGCACGTGACGAGGACGGTCGTCGATATGATCGTCCGAACAATTTACGACCTCCCGTAAATTACCATAAGTCAGTCGAATATAAAGGGAGTAATGAGCGAAACGTGAGTCGATTCATTTGCAGTTACTGTCGTATTTTAAACAATATTACCGCGAGTGGTATTGTTTTCACTTTAGCGAAAAAATATGAGAGAATTTTTGAAAATTTATTAAAGCTAAAGTAACGCGGTATATATATTTTTGCCTCTTATTACCTGATTTATTAAATATTTTGTAGAGGTGTGTGCGTATCAAGCATTTGTCTGGTCGAATCGAATCGAATCGGATTTTTGATAACATGTTTGAAATCGAATCAAATCGAATCTCTTTAATTCGAATACGAATCGAATCTGAATAAAATTTTCTCAGATTTACATTACATGTTAATTTAAACGTAATAAATATCAAAATTTATGAATTACATTATTTTACGCAATGATTTAAACAAACTGAAGACCTGTTTTCGATTTACATCTCATTACAAAGGATCTTATGTGACACTTTGAACTAGAGAATATTAATTAATAATATGTGTATACACGAATAGTTCGAATGCTTTCAGAATATTTTCTATATTAATCTACGTGGATGTACATTACATATATTAAAAATACTTATTTATTAGATAAGAATAATTGATCGCGCGGGTGATATAAATGAAGCAAATAAAATAGGCGATTCGAAATCGAAACATTGTTGATTCGAAATTCTCGAACTATTCGATTTTGAATCTTATTATTACAGATTCGAAAACAAACTCGAATCGAATCCACTGTGATTCGATTCGATTCGATTCGAATTCGAACTATTCGCACACCTCTAATATTTTACTAAAAGTTATGACAAAATACGAGTCATATTATGGATAACAGTTTTTCTACGCAATTTTTACCATGTAATACCGTCGGGATTGATATTATAATAAAGGGTAAAATCACGTTGTGTAATCAGCGACGTTTTGACAGAGAGAGGGAGGAGATCGGGAGCGAGAAAGAGAAAGAGAGAACAACTTAAAAAGCAGCATTTATGATTAAAGAAAAAGCGACTTTTTTGTCCTTGCAGTCACCGCAGTCACTGCAGTCGGAACGGAATAATTTGAAATCCCTCTCGACGAGCGACCTGCACTTTGTTGCATAATGCAGGTGGTGTGCAAGAATCTTGGCGAATAGCATGGTGTATGCATTTGAGATAACAGCAAAGTGTAGCTTAAAGCGTTCAAGCGGACACTCAAAGCATATTATACGTTGACTCGTTCGGCAGCGGTAATACAGCAACCCTAATTTCAAACATGGCTGCACGAATATTCTCGCGTATAACAGTATATCTCTTAGGATGTTGAATTATGCACCTCGCTGGGAAAAGGGAATCTCGTGCGGTAGTAAATCGTGAGTTATAACATCGAAAGCCAGTCGAATGATACGGTGCGCACGTAAAAGCGTGGCCCTTATTTTTCATAATTTTGAAAATTTTATCTTTGTTTCTTGTGCAGTGGTAAAAACAAATGAATTTTAATTCCCATTAAATATATTAATTCTTCGAAGATTATTAATTCTCTAAACAGATATATATTTTTATTTATGTAGATTATAGATAATATAAATGTCAAAAAATATAGTTTCTGTGACTCAAAGAGAAGTTGAATTTTGATTGTAAAATGTGAAAGGTTAAAATGTAATCACTCCGCCCATACGATTTTATTTTACAATGCATTTAGCTTTTTTATTTTTTATCTAATCGAAACAAGAGCTATGGGAGAGGCTGCAGTTATACAACTATTTGCATTGTTAAAATAAAGCGATCGGGTCATTACGAGGCAGTTACGCGATCTACATTATTCTCGGTTAATTGTTCAACTCAGCGAAGCAATGTACATATATGTCATTGTCGAGTCAAGTCCTCGCTTACCTTCTCCAATTCTTTGAGACTAGCTGGCGAAACGTCGGAGTGCCTTCGGATTTCCGAACTTCGCGGCGGAGCTAGTCCGGTTCCAAGTGCGCCTATCTGACTTCCGGTGGGACCGAGCCGGGCGTCGCTGTGCCTCCTGTGAAGGGTCTCCAAGCTCGGCACATCCAGCATCGAATCTGTGGATTCCTGTGTCACTATCGGCTGGTCCCTCGAGGCGATCTTTCGACGGCAAACGCTACACCGCCAGGAAGACTGTAACATTTCCGGAAAAGGGAAAGCAGTCAACACTCGTTCACGTTACGCGGCCATTTACTGACGTCAGGCCATGCATTTCATATAATTACTTTCCAATTATGTTTAATTTTAAAACTGTATACTATCACTTTGGGTATTTGACTACGCCATTTAATAGAAACTTAGGATTAAAAACCGAAATAGCTTTTTAATAGCACTATGTTCGAATTTACAACATAAACTAAACTAATGATGAAATTTGAATTAAATTAAAGCTTAACATATGAAAATAATAGATGAAATAAAATACAAACGTTTAATATTTATATCAATTAAAAGAAAATCGCAATTCCAATCCTTAATCCACAATTCCAAAAATGTTTTATTACAACTCTCGAAAAAGCGTATATGCAGTTTTCCACTCGTGGAATATAACGCATTATTTTTTATATATTAGTTTTAAAAAAACTGCTTTTTTCAAATTGCTGGAAAAAAAACCCGAAAAATTTCGATTTTTTTCCGAGAAATTGATTTTTTTTGCAAAAAATTGCTATGTCAACAATATGCTACCAAATTTTTAATATTTTTCATCATATTAAATATTAATTGGGATTCAGAAAGTAATGTAAGTGATTTTATGTGATTATTTTAATTTGTTCGTTAAAATGTGTAAATTTTTTGTTTAAATTAGATATAAGTTTATAACTCTTATAAGTTATAACTCGATCTTGTATTTTATAGTAGGTACCTATTATTAAAATAAAACATCTCGTATAAACGAATTAATAATGAGTTAATTTTTATGTTTACATTTAAATACTATATTCCTTGAGGTGATGATTTAGCGTAAATTAATTTAATTTCATGTTTATATTAAATATTTTTAAAGAGTTTTAATTGTTAATAATTGTCAAGAGCCATACATTTTGTTTGAAAAGTACATTAATTCTGTCTTTTTATTATTATTATTATTATTATTATTCTTGTGTAATTAGTTTTTTTTTATTTCTTTTGTATTTAACATTATCAGCAATAAATATATGCTTGTTATAAAATTTTTAAATTTTGAAAAGTATATCAAAGTGTTGCAAATGTAATAGGTTTTTTGAATATATACGAAATTTTCCATTGAATTTTTCTACTCGTTGAGAAAGAAACCGAAAAAATCTGCGGAAAAATTGAAAAAAAAAACCGGTTTTCTTTCCAGTCTTTAAAATTATATTATTATTTTTACTTCGATAAACAGCAATGCAAATGCAACAAACATGCAAATATTATTAACTTAACTTTTGTAAATATTATTACTGTAAAGTTATTGTATGTGTAAAATTAATATTCTGTAATCGTATTATGTATTTGACCTGCTTTTTATTTTATTTATAATACGCGAAGTTAATAGGAATTTGAGGATGCTTCATGAAAACAAAGCATTTTCTCTTCCCACGTGTATACACACCACTACCGCGGAAGCGTCAAAAATAGTGAATGGAGCGCGAATGCAAATCTCGAAATTTACTAAATGCGCGCATTTCCATCGCACACGTGATTTTTCTACACAATCGTGCGGTTTTGTAAACTGTAGAAGAATGTATATTTTAATTTAGGTTACCACGGAGATAGCGCTGTGCGCTGCTATAGAAATGAATAGAAATGCGCGATGAATAGACTCAGAATGATTACGCACATTCTACCGAATTCGGGTTGCCCGCAGGAATGTCGTGCAAGGGCTTGCCATCCATTGTAATCCGGCGCGAGATTAAATCTCGTGCGATCGGCTGCGCGCATTTACCGAATTTATCAATTACGCGTGTAATTAGAATTAACGCCCGATCAGCATCACGCGTAATCAGCGAGCGAAGGGCAAACAAAATCGCCTTTAAACCAATTAATCTTCGGCGCGATTAAACGCGGGGCGAATTCGCGCGGCGCGAGTCGCGAATAAATTTCCGTTAGATCCCCGCGTTTATGATAATATAGTGCGAAAGTTTCGAGCCACCGAAGATATACCGGTCGCTTTTTGCTTCCTTCCTTCCTCCGTGGATTTAATTATCGACACGAAGCGCGCGAAGGCCCGGGCGAAGAAACATAATTGTCTTAACAATTTCGGGGAAAAAAAAACTTCAAGTAGTCAAAGGATGGAGGCTCCAATAATTTCTCGCGGTAATTTCCTACAGGCGGGCGCCTACAGGGGCGATAGGTAGAAATTCACCCCTGACAAAATCCAGAGAGAGACTGCGAGAGTGAATATAAGCGGACGCGGTAGAGTTGCATGTGATTTACACGAGTTCATATTAGTCTTAAGGGACGTTCCTTCTTGCTATCGTAAATTTTCAGCTTTTCTTGTCACTATCAGTCAACAATTAGCTGTTCCTTTCGCGTTCGCGCTTAGAATGCAGATAAAATCTTCGACCTCAAATATTTTTTCAAGTTTCTTTATAAAACGAATCGCACACATTTCTTACTTCTACACGATAATTTATTTTCTGCCTTGTATATGATGTAGACAACGCACACTATAAAACGATCGTAGCTTTGCGACATAAAAAAATAAAAATACAAATCGCGTAAACGTGTTTATTTGCAATTATACAAAATATGGCATGTTTAAAACGTAAAAGTTTATTGCTTATTAATAAATGATAAAATAAACTGACTCTTTGGTAGTAAAAAGGGAAATCAAATGAAAATCGCAAATGACGTCATTTATACGAAATGTCAAAGGACGGCTCCAATTATACGTAACGTATAAATTAAAAAAATAAATATTTAAGGACAGCAACGGTAAAATATCACGATTACGATGTTACTCTCGAAATTAGATTTTCACAAGCCTTTCGTTTTCCTCCGTCTTCAAGCCTGTTTTTCTTTCGTCCGTTTCGGCAATTAATTTGCGCCCAGGCGTCATCCAATCTCGTTTTACGGCAATATTTACCAACGGAAAACAATGAACAAGCCGGTTAATTAAAAATGGAGGCGTGCAGAGACTCACCGGATCGTCGGAATTCGTTGTCGTCGAATACGAGGCGCAGTCCTCGCAGACCTTATGTTGACATTCGCAACAAGTTCGCGAGACTTCCTCGGGGCCGAACGACTTCCGGCATACCCTGCAGTCGTCCCCGCTGCTTGTCTTGCCGCCCGCTTCTGGTTTTCTGGAACATCGAACCCCGATCGAAACTTTATTAAGCGCGGACCCCTATTGTTCGCTACAATGATCTTTCCGAGCATGTCCTCCATTATCAGAATTATTGTCAAACATATCTGTTGTTGGGTTGTCGAGTATTGAGATAAATCTCTTTCCGCAATATACCTTGAGATAATTAACTACATTTTATTACATGTTATATAAGACATACTTTTCTAATAATGGAGAATGAAGAATTGTGATAATGATTATTTTCGTGATAACTGAAATAATCATTGATCGTGAATAAAATTCGTGATAAGAAAAGTATTAAACTATTATATTCGGTTGGGAAAAACTATATTTTCTTTATTTATATTTGAATAACTTGTTTTTATAAAATATGAGAGAAGAAAAATTTATCGAGTCATTATAATATTACCAGGTTTTTTATTACACAAAAATAAGAATAATTAATTAGTTTTCTTATACACAATAATTACAACACGTTTCAAAAACATATCATGGCAACAAAATTATTAATATTTTTTTTTATTATAGCATACACACGTTATGTATCTCTGGTCTTTTCTCAAAAATCTTACGTATCTTCTGCAAAAATAATTTTATGTTGTAAACATTATTAGAAAACTAATCGAATCCGATGCAACCATGTTCATTTGTAGAACAGCACGTTCGTTATTTGAACAAGCGCGAGTTACTTAGCTGATCAACGAGGAATCAATCCACGGTCCTTAATGGACGTGTCGTATTAAATATCGCTCGGCTGGATGCACGAGCAAACTGAGCCGGGCAAACGGTTGAAATAAGGGTGGGTCGCGCCCGTTTAAACTGACAGTGAACTTCATGGATCGTCTTCCGCATGGATAATGTCCGCCGCAGCGGGCTCGTTCGCACGTGCGTCCCTGGCGAATAAATCTTCACCCGCACGAGGTAGCGTAGCGCGCGGATTAACAGCGATGGGCTGTTATCCGGACGAAACGTTTTCAAATAGATTGCAACTGGCGAAATAACGAGTGAAGCTCCGATCGTCGCGCGGGCATTGCAACTATTCGATTGACGTGTATTGGAGGATGCCGTCATTATTACAATTATGAAGAGCGGAAAAATAGTTACTATAATTAATTGCGAGATATTAATATAATATATATGATATTATAAATGATATTATATATGATATTATAAATGATATTATGTGAAGAAACTTGAAAAAAAAACATTAGATAAATTATGAGTGCAAAATTGAGGAATAAGTTTGAATAATCTTCAAGTATAAAAGAATATATTTTTTGATGAGCAATATAAAATTAAAAAAAATAAAGTATTGTATTTTTAAATTACAGAATTTACGTTCTTTTATCATATATTTTATCAAAGTTTACTATATTTAAACAATTAGTATTCTAAATATATTTATACCCTGAATTACACAATACATTTTTAAAAATATTTTATTTTTTGAGTTATTGGACAAAATTTTTAAATATTAATATTGCACCGTTGCAAATTACTTTTGTTAAAGATTAATTGTTTTTAAAAGTCTCAATGTAAATGGAAATAGAGGGTAGTTTGGCAGGATATCCTTTGGGAAATGAAACTTTTATGTGAAAAAGCGCAATAACTGGGATTTTACTGTTACATGCCTATTCCATGCATTTTTTCCATTATTGTTTTTCGCAAAATGTTATTTACAACTAAGTTAACTGTATTTTGACAGTGCCGGTGCCGATGATAAATGTATACCTTAATGCAAAAATGATTAAATTCAGTTACGAGATGCTCAAATAATGATATTTAATGAGAAATTCAGAGTTAAATAAAATCACTAAAAGCAACGTACTAATACAAATACTGTATTTTAGACTATTGGTAATTAATTATGGTAATGAGATATTCAAAACATCATGCGATACATGTAATATGATTCAGGGCAATATCCTGATGTGGAGTGTTCGAAAAATTGATCAACTCGAAATTATATAAAAGCGAAGAAATCTTGTATTTATACAGTTGCAATGAGCAATGAATCAAATTAATGTTTCGTAAATTAATGTTTCGTAAATTAATGTTTCGGGAGAATATATGTGTATAGTAACATAATAATTGAAATATATTATACATATATATTATTAATATATATATATATATATATATATATTGTAATATTAATAATTCTAAATGGCGTGATAATTATATATAATGTTATTACAGATGGTAATATTACAGATGATAACATTACATTATTGGCCCGTTTTTTTGTGGATAATATATATAATAATATAAGAAAATATATTTAGACTTAGAATTTTTGATAAGAAAAATAGAGATAGAAATACATGGTATGTCTAACGAATGCTATTAGGATCAATATAAGCAGGAAATATCAAATTATTGTCATATTGGTCTGCATAGCATTTCTAACAATTTTCTATTATATTTATTTGATTTAATTTTTAGTTATAATATGTGTTAGAAAAGGAGGGCATTAAGTTTTATTAGCACAATACATTTTGAAAGCATAGTATCTCTTGTAATACACATATATTAATTGAAAATTTTAATATAAAATGAACTATTCATATTTTATATGGATTTACACTTTATCAGAAACTTACGGTTTCAAAGTTTCAATAGTGGAGGAATCCTCTTTGGGCTGAATGTCCTCTACCGGGGTGACCTTGGCCGGCTTCGTCACTGAAAAGAGAGAAAGGGATCTCTTTTATAGTATCATACTTCACGAAGAGATTGCGACAGTCCTATCCGCGGGCTCTCTTACAAGCTATATCCTCCGGGATCCCTCGCAATTGGTGAATCGATTGCCGCAAATGCTTTTCCGCCCCTTCTGTCGCCGCTACAGAGGGTCTTTAAAGTTCCATTTGGAACCCTTAAAGAATATCTCTGGGAGGATTCGTTAAGTATTCAGTCCCGCTTTTCCCTTTAGTAAGGGAAAGATGCCGCGGCGATTTTATCGTGCGCGATTTGCCGAGAAGCTTCCTAATCGAGCGACGGCGTTATCGCAAATCTTTGTCGGCCGCGCGATTTCGAGGGTCGGCCGAGATATCGACAGAAATGAGTTTCCGATGTGTTCCGCCGAAAGAAAGGAAAGAGAGAAAGGAACGGAAATACCTTGATCGCTTCTCGAAACTACGACTCTGTAAAAAAAAAAACGGATAGGGGAATCGAAGAGAATTGCGTCTAATTTTATTCACAGCGGAAGTTATACATAGATATATATCAGTTTTCCAGATTACTGTAATTACAATTCGTTTGCATCGTTTCCTTGTTATTCATCGTCACTTCGGGTTAATAAGAGGGAAATATTAACTGAAAAATTGTCACTGCATGCTAATCGCAAGAAGTATTTCTTAGCGTCAATGATACCGTATTTGTATTACCAAACAATGCTTTCGCAGTTCCTCAATTAACCCAAATACTCTCCTGCGAGTAATCAAATAATCCGCGGTTCTTCTTCCGTCGTGAGCAACATTGCGGCATGAATTAACAGAATGAAAAAGATTACTGTACCGTGAGTCAAGAAAAAGAAATTAATTTTCCCGCGAGAGTGCTCTTTTTCCTTACACCATTGTGGTGTCTCTTTTTTTATTTGAGAGATTTTTTTTTGGTTAGAACTTAAAAGTTAGAAAAGAGATTTTTTTGTTAGAACTTAAGTTAGAAAAAGACAAAAAAAATGCTTATATTTTTAAAGATTTACTTTATTCCAAAAGTGATCAATAAAATTTATTAAGATATTTATAACAGTTCAGCTATTTTCATATAAAAATTATTTTCTCCTGGGGAATTTGTAAGAAGATTATCTTGATAAAATAGTCTCTGTTAATTTGAACCTTCTAATTCTATTGAAACGTCCTTTTTATTGACAGAAAGATTGTGTGAAATTCAAGGCTGAAAGAGCTATTCTTTAAGAGCTAGACATCTCGACAGAGAGGGTCACGAAGGTAAAAATGGGACGCATCGCTTTGTAATTAACGCAATTACTCACTGAAGTGATGCGCGACAGTACAACTTTTTGCGAGATAAATTTTCGCGTAATTTCGTAGAGACGAGAAGCGAAGAGATTGCTCCCGCGGCAACGCAAAATCCGGTAAAATCGGAATCGTGCGCGAGCGCTGCATGTGGTCAGATTGGATTGGATCCAATTAAACTTTTAGAAAAACTGACTAGATGCCCATGATCCACCGCATATCACCTTTCTCGTCGCGGAAATTAACCGTCAGATCAAATCTTACGTGAGTTATGACTCGATCTGGAAAATACGCCATACGTAGAACGTTGCTCCGCCATTAAACAGTTAATTCCGTTTATTCCCACTTGCGAGCAATAAAAAAATTTTTTTTGGTTTAATTTCTTACCGATATGATATTATAGTACGTTTATCATATTTATTATAAAATAATTTGTTTTATTAATAGCGACATGTTGGGAATACAGATCGAAAATGTTAGAAAATGTCACAATGTAATTTTCGGTGTAATTATTTGTGAAACATTCTATTTAGAACTTTGGAATTTGATTACTTTAAAATTTTATTTTTAAACAAATCTGAGATTAATTTATTATAATGCAAATTTTATGAAAAATATTTCTATATACATTTACATATATAAATAGAAGTTTTCCGATATATTAATAAATTTGGCAATCTTGAAAATAAAATATAATCGCGTAGCAGAATCTTTTTCAGTTTAACTTAATAAAAATTTTATTTATTACATTTATGTGCTTGTATAGATATTTAAAAATTTAATATTTATAATTTGATCACACATTTATAAGTAATAAATACTTAATATTTTTTTAAATTTTGTATATTAAAATACTAGCATTATTAAATTATCCTGGAAATTTTTATTAAATAAAAATCTGTTTCATATATAAGTATATATTTTTAATTTATGAATATATTAATAAAATGATACAATACATAGGTACAGCTAAGAAACAATAAAATTCTGCACATCATAATTTAAATATCTTCTTCAATACTTAACCTTCAAATGGTACAAAAGTGCGAATTCGCACCGCGAAAATTTTCGAATTGCTGATATTTGCACAAAAACATTTGTTGTGGCTTATCCCCGCATACGTTAAATATGCCCGGTACCTTAGGTGACAGGTACAAACATGCACAGCTTCAGTTTCGTGCAGATTAAGGAAATATTAACTTCGCAAGTTCGTGTGGTGCATATTCACACTTGTATTCAAATAGTGTGTGCCAGATCGATGTCTACTTTTAGCGTTTTATAAATTTATAAACATTGTAATATGTTCCTTTTTTTACATTACGTTATAAACATTGTAATGTTTCTTTTTTTACATTATAATAACAAATAAAACATTTGTATGTATAATCTTATTCCATTTGTTTTCTCTGTCTTAACTTCCATAATAATATAAACAGTACTTTTTAATATAATTTTAATTATGTAAACGGTTTTTATTAATAATTAACTTTATAAATTGGCAAGATTTGTTCTTAAAATACCTAATTTTCATTGAAATTATTTTTAGAAAGATTCAAATTACTATTAAATGAACAGAAAATATTTCAACTTCTGGCTATGTGGAAAAATATTTTACTTTCTATTTTTGCAACAATAATAATTTTTTATTAAATTACATTATTTTAACTAAAGAATCACGCAAGTTTCACTTCATTTCATGAAATAACAAAAAAAAATGGCAGCTTTTCTCCGAAAAGGTGACATTTTCAAAACGGTAACTAATTTATAATTGCTTCTCAATTGTTAAATAGTATTTCCATTAAATTAAGTAATACCGCTGGATTTGTGAGAAAATTTTACCCTCAAAAAGTGCAGGGATTTTCAAAACATTTCTGTTTTTATCCTTAGGAAAGATGTACAATTTAAGAGGTCAAATTCAAATTCGCACCATTGTTCCATTAGTGGGTGCTCGAAAGAAGTGTATCATTTGAAAGTTAATAGTACTTAATAATTCAATACTTAATCTCATGCAGCTATGCGCATACGCGTTTGTAGAAGAATTAAATTACGGATGTTATTCAATAATTCAAGTCAGTATTTTGATTGTTGCAAAAACGAATGTCAACATGGTGACTCGGTTTTATTAATGAAATTAACTTTTTTCTCGCGCTGGCACCTCGCTACAGTGTTTTTGCAGAGACATGGTCGGAAATCGCGTTTCTGTTGACGTTAACAAAGCGGATTACCGGTATGGTCGACGAGCGCAACAAAAGAAATTCTCCGTGAACGACGTGTGAGAAATGTCAGGATTTTCCTTCTTGTAGCAATTACTTCGTTATCGTTGGGATTCACTGAGTCACGTAAGAGCTCCGGCTATCCGTGCTTTGACGCAAGACAAATCGTTATCTAGCTAATTGTCCAAAAAATCATTGGGAGAAAACGTCCCCGACATCCCTAAAGGATAAAAGTGATCATTACGACTTCATTCTTATCTCACGCTGAATCCAAACAGAAGTTTACAGAATATAGTCGGGGAAATAAAGAAGTGAAATGAAAAATAAAGAAATACTTCAAACTTAATGTTATATAAACTTGATATTACTTATAATTATTAAATTGAATTTATTAAGAGAAACACATAAAGGGCTTTTATTAATTATATTAATATTAATATTAGCATGTAAAGATATCCTTTATATCTTTAATAAATTATATTAATAAAATAATAGGGTCTGCGGCACAGCATTTTTTAAACAGGTTTTGCCGTTTAGTAAAATAATTTCTTTCTTGAAAAACACTTTGCCTGTTTCTGTATGATGTAAAATAGTTTACGAAACTTATATATATGTATTATTCGTTTCGATACCCGCGGGACTTTGAAAAACAGATTATATAGACAATGCTTCCTTAGTTTCTCGAAATCGCGTTTAACCAGGGACAAAAGTGCTCTCCACACTTGCTCGTATTTAATGTTTTGGAGGATTGTATATCTAGCCCAGCTCGTTGTGCTGTTCATGACGCGTTACCGCGTTCTTCCGGAGACTCCCAAATAACCATAGAAAAGACAAGAGGGTTTCCATCCTTTTGATGGAAAGCTCAACAGCATCTCCTCGAGTTTCCAGCGAAGGCAACTCGAACTTCCTCTCGGCTTCGAGTTTTCGGAAGTGCGATGGTCTGCTACAAACACGCGAGATTTAACTTCCTGAGAGTTGTGTAACAAGAGGTCGACCTCGACCAACTTGCATTATCATTCCACATCGATTTATCGTTTTGTATGGGAGGAGAAGACATTCGAAGTAATATACGTATATCAATTACGACCGTATAGGTGTTTCACACATAGCGAATAAGGAAGGATCAATGCACGGTCATAGATAGGATCTTGGTGCTTCTATTATTTTCTTATGTGATTTTACATATGTACGTATCCTAGCTTCAACGAAACTGCGTGCCGTTACTTCCGGATTTAACTCCTGATTGAAACAGGACCGTATTATCACGTATTAAATTGCTATAATCAATTTAATAAGTATACGTGATGTTCACTTGTATCTAATAAATCTCCCCTCCCCCGCGACGTCAAAGGATACGTAAGTAAAATCACATAAGAAAATAATAGAAGTACCAAGATCCTGCTATGATTGTGCACAGCCTTCCTTATCTGTTATCTACATTTGAAGTAATTTTTTTAGATCTCAACAATTTAAAACGAAGAGCAACAAAAATTGCTAA